CAGAGCGCCAGAAGTGAAGGAAAGAGACTTGGCCCTTCAAAACGGTGTTTCAATGATCATACTTCTCGCTGTATACCTCAGTAAAGCAGTATGATCTGCCTGAAAACCTTGGTCTTGTTACTACGGGGAGTTTCGTATGGGAATTGAAAGGATTTCTGTTTATGCCTCTTCGCCAACACGAGGTGGTCGCTGCAATGAGTGCCGAGGGCGGTTGCTGCCTCGGACAGCTTGAGGGCATCTGGCATGAATTTTGCTATTACTTCCAGCCTGAAGTACATAATATGTGCCCTAAACCCGAAACCCTGTCGCAGTGATTGTTCGCTCACTTGTGAGCAGTTGTTTTCCAGTTGAACGCGAGAGACCTCGTCTGGCAGTGTCCGAGTTGCGAGAGCGTAAACCCTGAAGTACATAATATGTAGGCCGTTGCGAGGGCCGCCGGAGGGTTTTGGAGTTTCAAGGTTCGGGGTTTAGGGTTTAGGGTTCCGGTTTAGGTTTCGGGCATCTACGGTCTGCAGACTTTGCACCCAACTCGCAGAGCTCCCAGCCGAGAAGAGATGTATGTGCCGAAAGTTCAAGGTTTAGGGTTGAGGCTTTCCGGTTTATGGTTTCGGGGTCTCTTACAGACATTCCCAACAACTGACATCCTGAGCCTTCTGTCGCAGCCTGGGGTGTAGAATCCAGCGCCCGGGTTCCAAGATGGATTGGTCATGAGCGGGGAGGGGGAGGCCGAGGAGGAGGAGGAGGAGGAGGAAAAAGGGGCAGAAGGAAGAACAGTTTGAAGAGGAGGAGTGTGGTAGATTCCACATGTGGTGGTCGGATGAAGCGAGCACTATTTGCCGAGCAAGTACTTTCAATGAATGCTCCGGGTGGGGCTGCAATCAAAAGTAGAATCAGAAGACTGGACAGAACGTAAGACCCATTAAAATACATACATGCTACACAGGTTGATTTTACGCATGATACTCATGCCCTCATGTCAACAAAACCATTTACCAATGCACACGTATGTATATGTATGTCTGTATATCATATATATATATATACACATACATACACACATACGGCATATATATACACATATACATAGATATGTATATATGCATGTACACACAGTGTATGCATACATACATACATACATACATACATACATACATACATACATACGTACATACATACATACATACATACATACATGCATACGAATACATCAACATGTGTGTATACATTGGCATTGTATAATATCGATGTGTTGAAACGGCTCAATCCGCGAGTCATCCCCCATCCTACGCCTTGAGCCCGCGAACCCGAAACCCCCTAAACCTTAAACCCTANNCCCCCCCCCCCCCCCCCCCCAAAGCGGACGCAATGAAGGCCCGGTTGCTGTCGACCTCGCAGCACCGACCCTGACGGATCCGGTGCGCGCTGTTCAACAGGGGTTTGGGGTTTGAGATTTAGTGTATAGGGTTCTGGGTTTAGGGTTTAGGAATTTTGGGCTTTAGGTTTAATTGGTGTTTCGGGACATTGGGGTCCAGGGTTTTTGGATTTCTTGAGTGGTTTAGGGTTTGGGATACCGTTCAGTTTCAGGATGTTTCAGGCTTTATGGGGCCTTCGAACAAGCAGTTGGGTGGTTTAGGTTGGAGGCTGAGGCCTCAGCTGAAGCGGCCGAGTCACCCTTAGCCCTAAATCGAAGCCCTGCCAAAACCCTGCCGTTTTGGAGTTCGACGTTTCAAGTCTGTCGGCCCCAGTAAACCCAACACCCTCACCCCCTGAACCCTAAAGCCCGACACTGAAAAGTTCCAGCGCTGTAGAGCCCCTGGCTTTGTCTTTAGGTTTGTGTTCACAGAGACTGGTTCAAACTTTGGGCGGGGGGGCTGGTAAGCAAATCTAGTTCTTCCTCTAGTAGCAGCAGCAGTAAGCAGTAGCAGTAGCAGCAGCAGTAGCCAGTCGCAGTACCAGTAGCAAGTGCAGTAGCAGCAGCAGCAGGAGTAGGAGTAGGAGTAGGAGTAGGAGTAGGAGTAGGAGTAGCAGTAGCAGTAGGAGTAGGAG